AAGCCTGGAAGCACTTGATGGTCATTTCGTCCTAACGTAGGACTCCTCATCAGTGCTCATTCACGATCCCATATCGTGGGATTCTTACCCAGGATCTATCAGTCTCGTGCGCATATGGCATTTTCTTAAACACCTAATGTGTTGTATGCTACTTATATTTATATAAATAGTATATAACGCGAGTTAAAGAACGTAATGTCTGGCAGCAGAAGATGGGGGAAGATCAAGAAAGGAAGAGCGAGAACACAATTGAATTTGTAAGAAAACGCATGAACTATGAAATGTGAGACAATGGATTGATGTTTGCAAGGGCAACCGTCCGGTTCGATATGATGGAATGATATTTTGAAAATTAACGATTTACTTTTTGGTTTTTCTATTTCACCAAGTAACTCTGTAATTTTGTGTTAAGTACATTCGGTTGTCTCCACCCGTGTTCTGTTCACTACACTAATATTGACGAGTTAATGCCTTATTCAGATTTTCAAGCTAAGTCAATAAACAACAATGATGGATAGTTGCTAACAGTGGAATCCAGGAAGCGCGTTTCGTCCTATCTGGGACTCGTCAGCTGGATTTACTTGCATCTCAGTGTTGATGTTCACTCTAGGACTCCATCCCAGTAACATTCGCTTCAAACGCTAACACGTTATCCACTCAGCTACTGAGAAGATACTGGAAAGATACAAGCTAAAACAATACCAAGTGAATTTAAACGAAATAGTTATTTTAATTAATACCATTCCTTATATAAATGACTTACTACTGTCTTACAATCAAATTAATAAACACTTGAAAATAATAATTTTAATTATCAGTAAATCTTTTTTTGTTTGTATCGACAAAATGATGATAAGATGGCGGTATCAAAAACAAAAAAAAACAAGAGAAGTGTCTAACAAAATTGATTTCATTTAATCATTTTCCTCAATTCACTAAAACTTTATTTTCACAAGAACAAAAAGAAGAACAAGAACAACACAAAGCAAACACAAAAAAAACAACAACAAAGTAGTAGACAACAAAATGACCAACATACTCACTACATACATAACTAAACTAAGATCAATTACTGATTAGTGTAAAGAAACATCGAAAAAAAAGAAAGAACAAAAAAAAGGTGAAAGCAACTCGTAAAATGAGAGTCTTTTTTCTTTTTTTTGTTAACAAAATTCACAATTTTATTCATTTCAATTTGTGTTTTCTTTTTTTGAAATCTTTTTTTCCCCCACAAATCAACTGTATATTAAATCAGGCTACTGTTTCCTTTTATTCTCTCTTTTCAGTTTTACTCAGTTAGCTGAAGAACTCAAATGCTTTAAGGGGAGGAAATGTTCAAAAGAATGTACATATATATATGTAAATATATGCACTTCCATTTATCAATGAGAGATCTAGACCTTCAGTTAACAAAATGAAACTAATTTTTTTACAAAAAGAAAATAATCACCATAGTTTGTTATTTAAAACATTAATGTATGAATGAAGAGTATTCTTTTCCATTAATTCTATTCAGGTTTTATAATTAGGAAAGTTTCCAGGTTAAGGGTAAAATATATCGTTTAAAGCATGTGAACTTAGGATTGTCAAACAAAATTCACTTGGTATTGTTTTACTTGAATCTTTCCAGGACTGTAATTGATCAGTCTCTCTCTTATCGGCATATGTGCATACTGTGAGTATTGCCTTGATATTGATTTAATTGATAAGAGTTATAAGCAAACATGGATAGTTGGTGGTAGTGGAATCCAGGATGCGCGTTTCGTCCTATCTGGGACTCGTCAGCTGAATGTGACTGCATCTCAGAGTTGATGTCCACTCTGGTACTCAAACCCAATATCATACTCTTCAAAAGCCATCATGTGATCAACTTAGCTACTGAGTCTTGATAGCCATAGAATAAATTTGTTTATTTTGTTATGACCCATATAGAATGCTAACTTGAATCTCCATATATGTTAAGTAAAAATTTAAGATCTATGATCAGAATAAATATTGGGCAGATAGTGTGAGTGAAATAATAATGCAATTAATAGTTTAGAGGTTGTGGAGACTATTAAGTTTTTGATTGAAATAGTGAACCGATTGATGTTAGACCATCACCATTTAAAACCTGGAAGCACTGGATGGCCATTTCGTCCTAATGTAAGACTCCTCAGCAGTGCGCATCCACGATCCCGCTCACACAATTGTATTCTGTGATTTACTATCTCATAACAGACTCGGTTGAACTCAATTAGTCACTGCTTCTCACTAGATCTCCAGAATTGTCTGGAACTGATGTTTAGTTGAGTCATGTATCATTGAGAGAATGATTATTAATAATGAGTATTTCAGAGTTAATAGTCACTATGCTTATTAATAACCCATTTACGATTGATTGATCACTGGGTGGTGATCAATTTCGTGTATGTCAGGTAGATCGAATCTTATCAACCAAGTTGCAATGTGGCCACCAGTCTCGGTGACTCGAAATTGCGTGCACTATGTTGAATTATTATGGTAGTTGGAGTTAGTTAACAGGAAACCCTGGACCTAGGTTTTATGCTACTTGGCACTTGTCAGCAAGATGTATTTGAAATCTTGAAGGAACTGATGCCCCCTGACAGATTCGATCCCGTGTCACCCAGCTTCACATTCAGAGACGTTACTACTCAGCTATGCGGATGGTGACTGACCTCCTGTAGGACTAAGATGTACTTACAATCGATTGATCACTAGGTCATGTGGGAATTATTGTTTTTAACTAGACTTACTCACAAGAAAATGTATGGCTTTTTGATGAATTCAAGAGAATATTAAAATTGTAATATATAACTCAGTATACTCATTTTTTTCTGTTTTACATATGTGAGGTGTTTAAAAATCTAATTAAAACATCTAAATAATCAAAAAAGAATGCTTTGACTATAAAAAGACAAGTATTTACGTAAATTCGCATAGAAATGTCCTTGTTTTATCCTGAAGCAATCTGATGAAATATTAAGCGAAATAAAACACCTCAGAGAGAAGGATGAGTTGAAATTCTGCCATCCTTAGTAGAATGAACTGCTGGATATTCAACCAGCTTGGATCATCATTCCAAAGTCGTAATAACCTATTAAAGATAAAATCAAAAACAAATTATATTGAACGTACATATTATGAATATAAGATAGTGGAAAAAAATTACAGCTCAGAATAAAAATATTGTTGTTGTGTTTCATGAATTATCTTGCTTGATCGTGAAATATTTATTGTTCGTCTGGACGACTATATCATTTTGAAGTAAATGTTGTCAATATTGTCCAAAATGACAGTACGAGCTTCACGACTAAACCCTCCAGCTCGTAGGACACAGCACCTTCAACATTACAAACATAAATTTTTCCCATCCATTAATGTGTCTCATTCAGAATCATCCTCGATCTAATTAGTATAACGTAGCTATGACTGAATTTATTAGTATAAAATGAAAATTATAACTGATATATTTATTGCCTAATTTAACGAATAGTGAAGTTTTCGCATGTTAACCGACTTCATTGATTATTACTGTCATTTTGTACTTCTGTAAACATGTAGAAATTACAATTGTTTAATTTCTACTGACATCAATAGAATTTATTTGACAATAAGTTAAATTTCATGATACAGAGAGATTGTCCTCTAACATTATTGGTGGACGACTATGTTACATCCAACATGATTGAAATCAAATGGTTATAAGTTTTTCCTGAAACTTTGGGAACTGCTTTTCTAAATTAGTTATCAGTAAGTTAATGATGATCATGACTATAGGACGTTCATGAAGACTGATGAACTATGTAATTTAGATTTTGGATTGATGTTCATCAGATAACTATCGGAAACCATACTAAAATAAAATATCTATTCAGAACTACTCGTATTACAATGGTTGCTCTAGATAAATTTTTGGTGCAAACGGCAAAAATCTCCCACATTATCAAAGTATTCTAGAGAAGAAAACAGAGAAAAGCATGAGAACATAATAGTTTTGAAAATTATAAATTGAGTAAAGATCAGAAGTTACATTTACGAAATCAGAAATTATAATTACAGTTACCCGTATGTTGAAATACTTAATAAATTGTGATCCATTGATAATTTCTAACAAGGTGAGCTCAACAGGATGGGAAAGGGGAAATAAAATGAATTTATCATATTTCGCAACACCTAAAGGTTGCGATAAGTAAAAGCAAAGTTTTACATATTTAAAACAATGACGTTAAGTTCAAAACCATAATGAAACAGGGAGACGGAACATTTCAAAACTAGTGGTTAAGATTATTTAGTATTTATGTGTTGTGAATGGACTAATATCGGGGAGGTATCGATGTCGAAAATAACAGATATGAGCTAGAAAGAAAATGTTTTCAGAATAAGGATTTGTTAAGATTCTAGTAATTTTAACAATTGAATTCGTGAGTCAATGCAACCGAGATTACCAATAAAAACTTGGAAGCACTGGACGGCTGTGCATCCATGATGTCTTATGTGGCACTCAAACTAAAAACCCTCAATTTCGCGCGCGAACTCTTGACCTATAAACTCGTGAGTGGGCACACAACAATGTTAATGTCTAAAGAAGAAATGGAAACTGTAAGTACATTATGATCCATATTTATTTATTTATGCTCAGTACATAAATCCCTAGTACTACAACAGAATTTCAAAATGAATAATCATGTTATGTACTACAAATGATTGTATTAAGATCGAGCTATTGTTCATTATGTTCAATCCTAAATCACATCACAAATCCTTTCTTTGATAATAATAATAATAATAATAATAATAATAATAATAATAATAATAATAATAATAAACATCAGACTAAATAAAACATGCTTTACCAATAAATTATCCATCTCATTTTAATCAACCAATCAAATTAAAGATACATTGTTTCAATGAACCAATCAAAAAGAAGTATTCAAATAGTTAAAACATTTTTATTATTTCCCAAAAAAAACAATGGCGTTTAAATCCCTATATGTTTATATTACTAATTGAGATAACAGTAGTAATAATATAGAAAAATATATATAAACAATAATAATAATAATAATTGTACACCATAATACAAACTATACAATGCATAATAAATATATGAAAGAAATTAAAGAAATACATAATTAAATATAATTTCCCAATATACAATAAGAAAGATAGTTTGTTTGTTTATTTTTCTTTTTGTTCTACAATGTAATCAATGTAATCAATTACCTGAATGATGATGATAATGATGATGATGATGTAACTTTATTCCACGTATACCTACTTGTTAACATATACAATAAACATTATACATCTATATAACCATTATAGATTATAAAAGATATCTATCCATCCATCCATCATATTTCATTGTTGCGTAGATGTGTAAATATTTTAAAATAACTCTTATCATTTCATTATATTATTTCATTTATTTTACGGAACGAATGATACAACCATTTATATTTACTAATTTAATAATAAATAATATTAGTGATAATAATAATCATAATAAATTACCAAAAATCAATAATCAATCTATAATTATTAATTATAATAGATCACAATCAATATTTAATAATAATAATAATAATACTATACAGAATTTATCACATTCAACAGATTTATCTTTGAATGATTCTAGCCAAAATCAATATTATATCGATAAAATTTTAAATGAAGGTAAGATTATTGTAAATAATAGTTATGTATATAGTTGATCAAAAAAAACCCCATCTTGATCGTTGATTACGTAATTATTATTTATATTTTATAGTTTTAAAAATATACATATTTGTTGAATGGATAATCTGAATTGTTGTGATACATGCCTAGTTATATTTAAGAAAACGTCCAGTAAATCTTCACTTGATGTTATTTACTTGTATCTTTCCATTGTTATTGAGGACTGCGATTGATCAGTCTCTTTCTTGTTGGTATATGTACATCCTGTGCGGATTGCTTCAATATTAACTTAATTCACAAGCATTATAAGTAAAGATGGATTGTGGCTAGCAGTGAAATCCAGGATGCACGTCTCGTCCTATTTCGGATACGATGACGTTTAAAGCGAACGGTACTGGGTTTGAGTCCCAGAGTGAACATAAACTTTGAGATGTAGGTACATTCAGATGACGAGTCCCCATATAAGACGAGACGTGCGTCCTGGATTCCACTGTTAGGCACTATCCATATTTTTCTAGTAAATATGTTTAAACAATTTCCATACATATTTCGTACAAAGTAACAACGTTGAACCCTTGTGATTGTACAGTTAGTAAATGTCTTGAATTTAGTAGGTTGTTTAAAGAAAAAATAATATATCACTATTAAAATCAGTTTAACAACCTAGTACACTACAAATTACAGTCTTTTGATAATTTATTTTAGTTATTTAATTGAATAAAATATGATATCTAGAATTTACGGCATGCTAAAATGCCATAAAACAGGCTTAGAACATGAACATAAACTAAATACATGAATAAATGAAATGAGTACGTGTTAATTTATACAAATACATTTTACATTATACAAAATTATGACTTATTGTGATAATATTTTTATAAGTAAACTTATCAAATACATTGAATTATGTTACTCCTTAATTTATAACAAAAACTAATCATCCAATTAAAAATATCTACTCTTAATAGTATCTCCTATTTTAATATAACTTTGATTATGTAACTCTATGAAGTTTAAGAATACAAATATAATTCACCTTTTAGAAACCAACCCTGAGAGTGTTCAGAGATGCAACAGGAAAGTGATAGTTTTGTGCGGCGTATGTAACGTGCCCCAAGTAAATTTATAGATACACAATGATGTGGCCCAAAGTGGAAGTTTATCTTTAACACATCCAAGAATCGTAGGTTGGCTTGAGAAAACTATTAGGAGCTTAGCTGCGCAGAACGTTTTATTAAACGATTTTGAAATTCGTTTATTTAAGATTTCAGCAGCCGTCTCTACTTTAAATTCAAGACAGTTCTACTGTATGGAGCGGAAACCTAGAGAACTACGAAAGCCATCATCCAGAAGATACAGGCGTTTATTAACAGTTGTCTACACAAAATAATTTGGATCCGTTAGCCAGACACTATGAGCAACAACCTATTATGACTTACTTACTTACTTACGCCTGTTACTCCTCGTGAAGGAGCATAGGCCGTTCACCAGCATTCTCCTATTGTGAGCGAGAAATCAGGAAGGAGCGCTAGGAGTAGATAGGACACACATTGAGGAAAGCACCCAACTGCGTCACAAGGCAAGCCATCACATGGAATCCTCAAGGCCGAAATGTGAAGAGGAACACCAAAGAACACACTAAGCCGAAAAACGGAAATAGATTTAAAAAGAATGAACAACAATTGGATTGAACTAGAAAGGAAGTCCCAGGATAGAGTGAGTTGGAGAATGCTCCATTGAGAGTACCAAGAGTAAGCAATTAAGTAACAAATAACCAATATATGTAATTAATTAACTTTAGTTAATAGTGAAAATCACTAACTAAACTACTGAATGTTTAGTTAAAACATTTTATCATGTTTTTTTAATGGATGCAATGTATTACTTCACTGTAAATGGTTTACTGAAATATTGACATCATTTTATATGGTAATAAAGATCTTTTAATATAAAGTAACTAATTTGCGATATTTTCTTTATAAAATCTAAGTTAAAACACAGATAACAACCGTGTCAGTCGTGAGATAGTAACTCACCAATGACAATGATGTGTGTGTTGCTCAATCTCGTGGATTGGTTGAATTTAGAGATTAACACATTTGGATGACGGCCAGCTCAGTGGCCTAGTGTTTAAGCGTTATGGGATGAAACGGCAGTCCAGTGCTTCCAGGTTTTCAATGGTGGTCTAGCTCCGATTGAATCATTGTCTCAACTATTGAAATTACTACAATATCCACAAAACGCCTTCTGATCATGACAAATTATAAAAGATATGGAAATCATTCCATGTACAGTTAAATAAACAGTGAAATGAACGAATTCATTTTTATGCATCACTAAATATAAAAACTCAATGAATTGATGCATTCACCGAAAATCACAAGTTTACGTCTGATCCCTAACTTATAAGTGAATATTCAGTAATGATGAGTCTTATTCTAAGACGAAATTTTTGTGTAGTGTTCTCTAGTTACAAACTTTAATCATGCAAAAAAGAATCTAGGATGTCTACCATTACAAACAATTACTCAGTGAATAAATAGCTTGAAGAAAAAATGTAATTAATATAGATATAGTTCTCATCATTTCCGGAAATAAGAGATTAAAAAAGTGTTGTCTAATAAATGACTTTTCATTCGCCGTTAGTATCAAAATCACATAAATCCTGTAACAATATTCAGTTGTTCACATTATTGAAGGATAGAAAGCATCAAAGACGGAGGTAATTACTTCGAATATTCATATTATTGATTTCTATTTTATTTTGCAGTTGAAATATTTACTATGAAGAATAATAAATGGATAAAATCATTTCAAGGAATTTCAACAGTTGCCTTGTCGTGAAATAATTTATTCAAGGAAGGATTCAATTTCAGTGAGGCTATAATACACTTAGTCTGCCTCCCTAAACGCATGTATATGTGTACATATAGTCACTTTATAGTTTTAAAAAATCTTTATAAATAATTACTTTAAACTATTATTCACTTGATATTGTTTTACTTGAATATTTCGATTGATGTTTTTGGACTGAAATTGAACAATCTCTCTCTTATTGGCATATGTGCATACTGTCAGTATTGCCTCGATATCGCTCTAATTTACAAGAATTATAAGCAAACATGGATAGTTGCTAGCAGTGGAATCCAGGATGCGCGTTTCGTCCTATCTGGGACTCGTCAGCTGATGTTCACTCCGGGACTCGAACCCAGTACCGTTCGCATTTGAATAAGAATCTCCCTTTAAAATCACATTAAAATTATGATCATTACTGACACCAAGAACTGAGTTCTTGTCGCTCACTGGACAATATTCTATTATAAATGGCCAGATACTTAAATCTTCTAAATTCCAGATTGTTAATTTTAACCTGAGACATGAACAAAACTAAGACACCTTGTTGGTATCTCATACATTTTGTAATATTAGAGTTTCAGTATTAAAAAACATTGTCAAAAATCATTTATATTGGTGTAAGTTTCGCTTCTGATCTCATGTTTCATTTGTATCGGTGAAAGTTTTTCATCCAACTCATTAGGTAGAGAGGCTACATGCTTTTGGTATAACTCGAAATTTATTTTTACGATTTACAAGCTCTTGTATATTAAATTTTATTCCTTACTGTTCTCTATTATTCTTTCTCTGGCTTTCGAGAAAAAAATTTGTTCAGAGAGTGCCGTAGAAGTTTAGTAACCTGTGTGGTGAATATTTTGAGGCCATTATAAACGTGATTATGGACATACATTTAAATTCTTGCAAACTCATGGCAAGTAATGTCTTATCAAATACTAACAATCCGATCCATTTGAATCTTACTAATTACATAATTAATGATGAATAATGGCTAGCAGTAGAGTCCAGGACGCGCGTTTCATCCTACTCACTATCCATCTTTGCTTATAATGTTTATGAATTAAGGCAATATCGAGGCAATACTCACAGTATGCACATATGCCAATAAGAGAGAGACTGATCAATTGAAATCCTAAACATCAATGAGAATATACAAGTAAACAATACCAAGTAACATTAAATAAGAAAGAAAGATTAGTTCAGCGAAGAAGTCTCTTTTCGGCGAATTCATTTTCAAAGCTGTACAATCGCAAATATATATACTTATTTTGTCGCAGAATTTTATCCCCAAAGATAAGGCTTCTAATTGTACATTTGTCAACGATATTGAAGAATGATTAAACACATATCTCTCAGGGGTTCTTAGGAAAGTTGTACTGTGTTTCTGTAGTTTTTAAACTTTTAGTGAGGTCTGATATTAAGTTTTTTGTGCGTTTGTTGATAACTGTGGTAACATAATCGGTGAAAAGATTGTGTTCGTTAGGTGATAATTCATCTAATACAGGAGATCTTTGTGAAATGTTAAGTTCCAATAACGGAATGCGTGGACGAATAGAGTCAATAACATTTTGTGAATGGCGTTTAAGAGATTTCGAGTTTGGATAAATATGGTTTCTTCGAAGAATTTTCCAGTAGTATTTGTACATTTTAACGCAATCGTTAAGAAAGTAATCTTCGCATTCACTTCCGCAAGTTTGACAGAAAAACGCAGAAACCCATTAGGTTCCTTTACTGTCGAAGGGTCCTTGGAATTTTTTATTCCGTTTATGTCGATACATTAGAATCCACGATTTCAAACAAAAGCATATAACCTCTACAATACTGTATCTGGCAAATATATTACACACAAAAATGTCTGTAGGAGCTAATCTAGTCAATAACTTATCTTCTTAAACATGTTACTAATTAAATCATTTAGAGTATCATATCTTATTAAGAAAACAATTCATGTAATTCTAGGCAGTTTATTTACTGAATTCACAAGTACTTACATGTAATTATCAGTTTGTCTATGTTTTGTTCTGTCGTAAAAACTTGTTGAATTATTGTATGCTGAAGATAATTTCAGGTTTCATGCTTGAATAACGTTGCTTTGTGTTTGATACCCTCATAGGTAATCTCTTTCATAAGTGAATAAATTG